GAGCCCGCAGCAGGCAGCCCACACCTGCCCCTGCTCTGTGCACAGATCTGGGGGGCACAGGTCCCCTAGCCCCTTGGAAGTGCATACAGTGGTGGGGAGCCACTCCGACCCCTGTGCCCAAGCCCACATCCACCCTTCCACGGGGAGAGGGAGCCGGGCTCCGTACTCCGCTACGCTGCAGCAACCAGCACCTCCCACGGGCAGCAGATGGGACTTGGGTGTTGCTGGAGGGGCAGGGGGCTGCAGACCCAGGTCCCTTTCAGCAGCGCGGGGGGGTGTTGAGGGGCAAGAAGCATCAGCAGGGCCAGGGGGCTGTGGCTTGGGAATAAGGGGCCTGGACCTGCGTACCGTGAGCTAAGGGGGCGGGGAGAGCTCTGATTTTCTATGATAAAAACCCCAAATCAAATACTAAAACTTATAGGTATTTAGAGTTTATTTTATTCTAGTGATTGAGGCAATGCTTCATTGATATATCTACAATTGCAAAGCAGCTTAGAAGCCTACCAGTGTCTTATAGTATATATTCAGAGAAAACCAGGATCCCTGCTAATGGCAGACCCAAGTAATTTGTAGGCATCCTGGCTAGGGGTAATTTCAAGAAAGGATTTTAAAAAGATGAACTACTGGCTTTATGAATTTTAACAAGGAATTTCTCCCAGACAGAGGAAGCAGCATGGGAAAAAAAAGTGAGGAAGTGCTTTTAGGAAAAGCAGACAGCTAGACAAGGGAGGCCCATCCATTCTATACTTACTATAATATTACTGTCTCAAGCTTAAGTTTTCCACTCAGGTTTGCAAAGCATTAGTAGGAAGACAAGTAATGCTGCATATATTTTAGAAACTCTCATTGTATGCCAGTTAGAAAAAAAAAAAACCACTTTGTAAGTGCCAATTTAACTTCTCTTCTATCTTTACACAATTTAAATAAATGACATTTATAATCAAAGTACATAAAGCAACTTATATGCACTGACGTTTATTATTTTCCCTTGGGATCGCTACGTTTTAATCAAGTAGAATTTTAATACATCTAATTATACACAAAGCACTAACCTTACATAATGAGTTTCCATACCAAAAATGTAAGGTTGCGGGGAATGTTAAGAACGCACAGTTAATGAACAATAACGATGCAGTTAAGAATACCCACAAAACCTTAATTCGTTGGGAAAAAATATGAGCAATGCTATACTTCACAACTTCTCCAGTCTGTGCTAGCACTTGGCTTCAGAGCCACAGGCACCACTGGAGGGCTCTTCAAGAGAAATGTGGATGCTTATCTTGCTGGGATACTATGACCCCAGCTGACTTCCTGCCCCTCGAGCAGAGGACTGGACTCAATGATCTTCCGAGGTCCCTCCCGGCCCTAATGTCTATGAAATCTATGAAACTTCAAATGGGACTATTCACTAATGTTTGCTGAGGTTTTCCTTTCATCAATGACTGCCCTACGTTTTACGAAAGACACAAAAAGGCAGAAATCCTAGACAGGTTTCCGAATAGATGTTTGGCATAATTTTAAGGAACGAATACATTTTTTCCTGAGATAGGAGAAAGAGAAGGAGGAGGTGAAGGACAAAAAAAGATACTAGGCCTTCCTACCGGTTGGCAACCAACAAGCTTTGCCAACAAGCCAACAGGCGTAGGCCAGTCGGGGTACGCTGCAGGGAAGAATTTCAAACTGGCAGTGGTATACATTATGTCGCATTTACAGATAGTACAAAGATGCACCAAGTCTTCCTCCCATCCCCTGTACTCCAAAACCCAATTGTTACAAGACCTGAGCATTTTTCCTGAACAAAACGTTTTTCTTTATCGTTACTGACATTTTCTTTTATTGTTAAGTTGGATATAGGTTTGCATTTCCCAATTAAAGCCCTACAAACTAGTAATCGCAATCCACATACCTACTGACAAGGTCCTGGGAAAAAGAAAAATTATAATGCTGCAAGAGCATTATAATTGGAGTTCAAGGGAGCTGAAGTATTAACTGGAAGTTTGCAAGATTCCTAATATTAACTCTGACAAAAAAAAAAAAGAGAGAGAGAAGGGGGCTGCACCATGAATTTAGCCAAGGCTTTGATTTTGCAAATGAAAGAAGGGAGAAGCTCTGAGCCTGAAACCCATTTGAGCCTAGAAGCAGACTGAAATTGTTATGAACATCCAGAATTAAACGCATTCTTTTGAAATCGAGAATGTAACAGCAAAGCAAGTTTCCCCGGACAGAGGCTCACAAACCTAGTACTGAGCTGTTTCAAATTCCATCTTAATTCTCCGGAGCGTAAGATGTGGTTTTCATTGCGATTACCCTAATGCTTAACAAAACAGCAGTCTATCTCCAGAGAAGTTTTGATTTCAGTCATTTTTCTTAGTATGGACCAGGTCTCTCTCCCCAGCACCCAAGCTCCAAGCCTACAGGAAAGCAACAACACAATGGCAGGAAAAACTGAGAGGAAAGTGTGTAATTCTCTATTAAGCCTCTTCTCCATGCACAGGAGCTCGGGAGGGCTGGCAGGGGACTTTGCTTGCCAATCACACAACTCATGAAGAGGCACATGGAAGGACCCCGTGTCTCAGGTGATGATCAGAGCTCTCTTCACGGTGGCTCTACCCAGGGGCGGACAATTATTTTGGGCGGAGGGCCACTTACTGAGTTTTGGCAAGCCATTGAGGGCTGTATGACAGGCAGCCCAGGGGCAGATAAATATTAATTTTCTAAATTTTTTAGGGGTCCCGTGGGCTGGATGGTGTGTGGGCCGGGGAGCAGTCCCAGGTTCTTGGGGGCGCGCGGCGGGCTGTGGCCAGCAGCCCTGGCATGCGGGTCGGGGAATGCAGGCCGGCGGGCTAGAATTAGGCACGGACGCTTAGCGGTTGATTAAAGATTATTTTACTTACACCGAAGATGGTCGCGGTGCAGGCAGGAAAACTTGCTTGAGTTGCGGTTACAGACAGAAAAGAAGAGAGGCGGACAAGAGTTCCTTCCACGCGAACCTCTAGCCCAATCCGGTTGAAGGCTCTAAACACGCGAGCCCGTCGTGTCAACCGAAGAAAACAACTCGGAGAAAAGAGCTCTGGATACACTCACACGAAGTTTGCTAGGCTCCGTGGAACTTGCGCGCAGGGAAGGGGTTCGTC